CCTATCTCTAGCCTCTTCCCTTCTCCAGACTCAACAACCCTAGTTTTTCCAGTCTTTTCTCAGACCTCTCAGACTCCACATCCTCTGAGCCCATCTCTACTGGACTGTTCACAACCTGTCCACCTCTGTATTCAAGTGTGGGGCCCCAAAACTGGACACCGGACTCCAGATGGAGGGGATGAAAATGGGACAGAGAGAGGAAGCACCAGACTCCTTTGGGAAAGACAGAGAGAGGCCCCTGTGACAGAGCTCTGTCTCTCACCCAGCTTTGCAAACCAAAAAAGATTTGCAATTTTTCACTTTCTTTTCTCTTTTCCGGGCGTTAATGAGGAGGGGAAATTTGAATGAGCTTGGAGGAGGGGTGATTAGCAGACTGTCCTCAGCAAGAAAGCTACCAGAAATGGCTGGTGCAAGGGTTTATCCCCTCCCAGCTCAGGACCTTTGTGGGTTAAAACAGGGAAATCTGAGAGTTTTTGAATGGTGAGAGACCAGCAATAATAAATCCCTATTTATTTTCTCTTGGTCATGTAGTATTTTGCAAACCCTTCCCCAGTTCTCTCTCAAGCATTCCTTTTCTAACCTGACCAGGCCTGGCTTCGTTAGTCTCTCCTCATCTGGAAGCCCCTCCATAGCACATGTCACCCTTGTTCTGGACCTTCTCTGCTTCTTTTCTATCCTTTTGGACCAGAACTGGGCACTGTCCTCAAGGTGTGGACACACCATGGAATTATAAAGGGGCATCATGAAAAGGTATGCTGATTAGCTACATTATATAATAAGAAAATGATACAAACTAGGCACAAAATAGGCCAAAGATACTGTGTGTCCTTAATCCTGGGGTCATTATAATTAATCCTCTTATTTGGATTCATGAAGCAAAAATCTCGCCTTGTTGAGTGTCTGGACAGCGCCCCCAACACTTCCCTGGCAGTCCCTTCTACACCTATCATAGAATCATAGAGAAGTCAGGGCTGGAATGGACCTCCAGAGGCCATCTTTTCACACCTACTACCTGAGCCAGAATCATGCCTCTGCAACCAGCCCATGCCACCCCTGGGCAAAGGCAAATTGCGAGAGTTACCAACAGACTGTGAAAGAGAAGAGGGATGTTGCCAGGATGGCAACCAGCCAGAAGGAAGGCTGGCTTGACTAGTGGAAAATCAAGACCCCTCCAAGTGAGAGGGGTGGTCCCATCAATGGAGTAGAGAAAGATTAGCAGGAAGCTGGGAGCTGTGAATGGATTCCCCTGACTGCTGTCTGGATAGAAACGCCCTTGCCTTCCTCCTGGGCAGTTGGGTTTAATGTTTGGGTGGAGCAGAAATCATAGGGAGGTGCAACTGCCCAATAACCCCCTCCCCCTGCTTCCGGATCTGCTCCAGGGAAATTAACAAGTGAGGGTGAATGGGAAACAACTTACCTAAGGGTTCAGAAAGGGCCCTGGATTCTCTGAGTGCCTGGAAAAGAAAGGGATGGAGAGAACAGAGGGTTACAAGAGGAGGATCAATGGCCAATGAGGGACGTCATGGAGGGGAAGTTGTGTGATGCAACATGTGGGCAGACACAATGTGGCCAGGTGGGGAGACACAACATACACAGGGGAGGGAAGACACAATACAGCAATGTGTGGAGACACAATGTGCATGTGGGGAGACACAACACAGCTGCTATGGTAGAGGAACCAGAGAACACATGGCTGTACACATGCACACACACATGCATGCACACACACATGCATGCATGCACAGAACCCAGATGTCTGGGATGGACACACACACACACACACACAGATGCCCAGGACACACCTGCTCACACATAATTCAGATGTTCAGGATACAGAAACACGCATACATGCATCCAAAACCCAGGTGCCTAGGACATGAACACCTCTCCCCCACTCCTTGGAGACAGGTCTGTCTAGAACAACCCAACACCATTCAGCTACACATCCCCTCGTGTGTGCAGCTCAACCGTCCCCATGGGGGGCAGGCATCTACAACCACACATACAGAACACACATCAAACGTGTGGTCCATGCCGCAAATGCAGTGTAACCACAAATGCACAGAGAAGCTCCCAGGAGCACGCACGCACATGCTAACCCCCTCCCTCCCCCAAAGGGGCTGATTACAAACTACAGGCACAAGAATGCACATTCGCAATTCAGGCAGAGATGCCTTCAGGCTCACAGCATCCCAACTCCCACTTCACACACACACACACACACACACACACACACACACACACACACACACACACACACACACACACACACACACACACACCCTCACACACCCACACACACACACAGAGGCCTCCAGGACACATACACACAGACCCCAGGTGTATCTCTCTCTCTCTCTCTCTCTCTCTCTCACACACACACACACACACACATATCTAGAGTGTCTGGGACATGCACAAACAGTTCAGGTGTCCAAGACACAGATGTATCCAGGTGCCCAGAACACCCCCCCGCTCCCCCCACCCAGGCATCTGGAGCACACACACATACACATGCACACTCACAGCACCCAGGCCTCAGACACACGCAGAACCCAGGAATCTGGGACCCTTGCCCCACCCCTAGGGGCTCAGATCCTCCCAGTCGACCCCACCACCACATGGAAGGAACATGGTCTCCCCCTCCACCCCCTTGCCCCCCGGCCCAGCCCCTCTCTCACCTGCTGGCCAGCCCTGAAATGCAGGAAGGCCAGGACAATGGTGGCCCCCACCAGCAGGAGGAAAGAAGAGATCCCCAAGCACTTCCAGGGGTCACTGCGGGGCCGTGACTCCCTCACCACCACGACAGTCCCCTTCTCCACATCTGGGACCAGGTTCTCTGAGCTCATAGTCATCGACGTTTCCCCAAGACCTGTCACTGCCTTGATGTCCTGAGAGGGTGCTCGAATCTCCTTGGCTGTGCTTGGGTGGGCTTTAGACTGGAGACCAACTAGAGTTGGAGGATCTCTGGTCCTGAATGAGGTTCGGTGGGTCTAGACTGGAGACCAGCTAGAGCTGATTGATCTGAAACCCAGCTGGAGGGCCTCTGGTTCCCAAGTAGGGTTAGGTGAGGTTTAGATCAACTCAGGTTGTTCTTCGGTGTCTCTTCTGCAGCTGGGGCTGGAAGGAAGACTTCTCTGGTCTCTGTCCTCACCTGGTGTCAGAGCCGAACCTGGGAGTTCCCGTCGTTTGCAAGGTGGATGAACTCAATGAGCATCTACTCTCAAGCTTTATAGAGCTCTGAGGCCACTTCCTCTTCCCTTGGTGATACAGCATGAAACAAGCTCAACCCCGCCTCTTTAGAGAGTGAAGCCTTTGCTGGGTGGTGAAAGGAAAAATCCCCCTTGAACAAATTAACCCAAGAAAGGAAGACCTGTGGGTTCTTGACAATGGGTGAAATGAATCAACAATGGAAGGGGTCAGGAACAACCCCAGAAAAATTAGGTCTTGCCCCCTCCACCAGTCCCATCTGGTGGGGGATGGGACATCAGATCTAGGGCAGGGAGACAGGGGCCCCCACCTTGTTCCCATCCAATTCAGACCCCACCAAGATCACCCAGGTCTTCTGCCCCACTTGGGCACTGGGGTGATGATGGGGACATGTGGATTGGGCTGAAGACCGGAGGGGAATTTCTACTCATGTGGCATCAGATCTCAGGGGGTCCCAGATCCGAGTGGGGTGGACAGACAAGACTTCTCTGTCCATCCAATGGACCTCCAAAGCCAAAACCACCTGGATCTCCTGCCTCACTTGGGCAATGGTGTGATGATGGGGACAGGTGAATTGGGTAAAAGGCTAGAAGGAAATTCCTACCCATGTGGCATCAGATCTCAGGAGGGTGTGGACAGACAAGACCCCTCTGTCCACCCAACTGGACCTCCAAAGCCAAGACCACCTGGGCCCCCTGCCCCGCTTGGGCACTAGGCTTCTGGGAATAGAGGGTGGGTGGGGGGAATCTTGACCCATGTGGCATCAGATCTTGGAGTGAAGGGGACAGACAAGACACCCTCCAACCCACCCAACTGGACCCCCCCAAAGCCAAGACCACCTTGTCTAGTGCTCCCTAGAGGAGCTACATGGAAGCTGATACAGTGGGAAAGGAAGCCCCGCTAGGTTTCCCACCCCCCGAAGGGTGAGGCTGGGGGCAGGAGGTGCCTTTCAGCCCCACCTCCTCTGGGCAGAATGTGGGGGTGGGGCAAACCCCATCTTGTCTCCATCTCAGGGGTAGGAGTTTTGCATGGATCTGCCCTGCTGTGGGGTCCCCGCCTTTTCCTGAGTTATTGGGGGCAATATTCTCATGCTGGGGAATTCTGGGAAGGCTGTATGGGAAGGGAGGGGCCTGGGGGGGGGTCCATGTGCTTCAAGGAGAGGGGTTCAGTTCTAAAGCCACATTCAAAAATTGGGGAGGGCGGGGGGGGGTTATCCTAAGCCCCCCCCCCCAGACACACCCCAGTCCCACCAGCAGGAAGGGACAAATCTTCCTGTTAGCAGGGGAGGGGGTGGAGGGGGGGATGGGAGCTGGGGGCCTCTAGTGGGCCCAATCTGGGTCCGATCCTGGGAGGCATCAGTTAATTCAGGGGGGTGAGGGTGGGGTGGGCTTGTCTCCCCTCCAGGAGGGGTGCTCCCTGGCCCCAATCCAGATCCAATCCTGGCTGGCTTAGAGGGATAATGTTGGAGCTGGGGGTGGTGGGAGCTCTCTTCCTTCCAGGGGCCAACCTGGCCCCAACCTGGGCCTGATCCTGGAGGGGAGGGGCACTGGTTGGCTCAGAGGGCGGGAGAGGCAGGAGATACCGGGGCAGGGGGAAGAAAGAAATGAAAGGCCCGGTCCGGTTTTCCCAGTGCCGAGAGTGAAAGCAGAACAAGGCACAGATAAAAGTCCTAGGTTGAGAGACCTTCACCATTGCTCTGTCCCGGGTTTTCCCCAGCACTCCTGCCT